TTGTGCTATGCCTCATATATAGTATATACATATAATTATGTGTTCTATATGTAGCACATAATACAATATAATCCACAATACATTTTATAATACAATATACATTATTATATTACATTATACTACAGTATATACAACAGCATATAATATATATACTATATATACTATAGTGTATATATATACTATAGTATAATGTATTAAAATACATTATACTATATATAAAATAAAACTCTGTATTACCTATTGTATATTATATAATACATATACTATATACAATGTATTAAATATATAAGATATATAAATCTTTTTTATATATCTTATATATATAAAATATATGTAAGATATATAAATCTTTTTTATATATATTTATATATAAAATATATATAATTATATATAAAGAAATATGAAGACATATCTCTTATATATATAAACCTTATATATATTATATATACTATATATATAAAAGGTACATAAAAAGATATATATAGGGATGATATATAAAGATAAATATATATATAAAAGATAGCTACTATCTTTTATACCTATCTTATATCTAATCTATCTTATATCTTATATGTATATCTTGTATATGTCTTATATCTATATATCTCATATATATCTTATATATATCTCATATCTATCTTATATATATTTATATCTCATATATAGCTTATATATATTTTATATATATATATCTATATATATCAGATATATATCTCACATAGATCTTATATATATAAATCTCATATCTCTTCTATCTATTTATAGATAAACTTCATGAAGATAAAGGAGTTCTATACGAAATATTCAAATACGCACTATATACAGAACAGCTGACGTATACGGTGTAACACACACAAGCGCGTATCTAACTGTACAACTACCCTGTACAACACACATTTGAACCCTGTTATGACATATCCCATCTCAGAGCCAGCCCGGGGGAGCAGGGGCAGTGCCGCTGTCACCTTGTGCCACGTAGAGGATGGCGCGGGCCACGCGCAGCCGCCGCTCGCGCGCGGTCACCTCCAGCCCGTCCAGCAGGCGCATGGCGTGCGTGCGGTGCTGCGTCCGCTCCAGCTCCGGCCACTTCTTGTCCCGCACTGCAAACCACAGCAGGGCTTTGGGCACGGCCCCACCGGCCACCCCAAAATCTCACCGGGTCACTGAGAGCGCCGTGCCAACGCCCCCGCAGCTCCGGCAGCCTCGGTGCCCATTCCCTGGGGAGCCTGGGCAGTGCCAGCACCTCTGGGGGAAGAGCCTTTCCTGATCTCCAGCCTGAGCCTCCCCTGGCACAGCCCCAACCCTTCCCTGGGTCCTGTCCCTGTCACAGGGAGCAGAGAGCGAAGCTGCCCCTCGGGAGTAGCTGCACACCCCTGTCAGCTCTGACACCAGGCTCTTCTCCAGGAAGAGAAGTCCCTGTCCCTCCCCAGGGGCAGAGGAATCCAGAAAAAGGCTCTTACCGTGGATCCTGAAGTCCTCCTCGAAGCATTTTCGGTTGAGCAGGAACTCTGGCCCCTCTGTGTAGCTGTACAGCTCTGCCAAAAGAGGACAAGCTCCAAAAACCTGCACCAAGCTGCAACTCGGCTGAGAACTGCAGTTTTAGCCAAAATATCAAAATGCAATAAAACCCCACCCAGTGCAAGGCCAAAAATATGAACCACACATATCTTTCTAACATCAATACAGCATTTAAATATAATATTAAAGCGATACTGGAATTGACAGAGTTCCTTTAATTCTACCAGTGGAGGAAATCACGGTGGATTAATTGATCCATCAGAGAAGAATTCCTTACCTGACAGCTCTGCTGTCCATTTATCCGTGTCTGCATATTCAAACTCCAGGTCTGGCGACTCCGAATAGCCCTGAAAACACAGGGGAAAAATCAGTTCCATTACAGCATATTCCAGGAAAACCAAAATCCCTGTAAACACTCACAATTCACCTCATCCTCCTGCAAATCCAGGGCTGGTCTTACTGGTTTAGGGACCAAAAACATTCCTGCAGCAGCACAAACGTTACCGAGGCAACTCCAGCCCACCTCCTGCGTCTCCACGGGCTGTGCCGCATGGAGCCACTGCAGCACCCCCAAAGCACGGGGGGAGCCCCCAGAGCACCACAAACACGGCAGGACACAGGGAGAGGATTCTCTGAGAGCAAGGAGCTCTCAGAGCTCACCCATTTTGCACAAATTTGGGAAAATTTGGGCTATCCCTCTGTGCCGTCCCAGTAGATGGGATTAGTGAGGATGAAACAACTACAAACAGCTTTGGAGAGGCTGCAAAAACAGCCAGGAGAACCTTCAGAGCACAAAATATCAGCTCCCTTTACAGAAGTCAAGACCATTGACCCACAGCTTTTCAGGGCACCCTGTGCTGAGTGGGGCAGGTGCACAGCAAGACTCTCACAAATTTCGGGATCCTGAGCACGGGACAAATCCAGAACTCTCCTGAATTATGAGGCTCCCACTCCTGAGCACTGGGAGGATCCAGAACAGAATCCTCCCCCCCAGAGTGAGGGGCAAACCCATACAAGAACCAACCCAAATTTTGGGGCATTCATTCCTGAATGAAGGGCAAACCCAGAGCAGAATTCTCCTGAGTTATGGGACTCCCACTTCTGAGTGAGGGGCAGATCCACACCAGAACTCGCCCAAATTTTGGGGTATCCACTTCTGAGTGAGGGGCACACCCTGAGCAGAATTCTGGGACACACACACACACCTGAGCACAGGGCAGACCCACACCAGAACCCTCTCGGGACACCCACCCCTGAGTGAGGAGCCAAACCACAGCAGAATCCCAAATTTTGGGGCACATATTCATGAAGAAGGGGCATACCCAGAACCAAACCCACACAAATTTTGGGGCACATATTCATGAAGAAGGGGCACACCCAGAACCAAACCCACACAAATTTTGGGGCACCTACCCTTGAATGAATCCACAAGCAGAACTCCTAAATTTGGGGGCTCCCACTCCTGACAGGGGGACAGACCCACATCAGAACAACCCTGAATTCCAGGCTCTGAGAGAGGGGCAGCTCCAACCCCCTTGTGCTGGCTCTGCTCTGCTGGGAGCCCAACCTCAGGTTCTCCAAGATCCCCCCTCACACCCCTCCCCTGGCATTCCAGGGACTTTTCTGAGGAAGCCTTGGGAGAGAACGGCTCCAGGGCCATCCCAGGAATGAAACGCTCTGGAAAAGCCCCGGGATACCTCAGCTCCACACAACCCTCCGAGCCCGAGGCTCAGCGTGACCCCAGCACCGCCGGGTGTCCCTGGGGGGGTCGGTCACCTCTTGCTGGGTCCATCGCTGCTCCGAGCACGGCAGCGGGACCCGACAGCCCACCCCGGGCTGCTGCCGACCGCTAACCCCGAGAAGACCCCCGGGTGGGCAGCGAGACCCCGGGCCAGCCCTGTCACTCCCGTTTGGGAGAGGCGACCGAGCCACCCTGGCGGCCCGGAGCTGGGGAAGGGATGGATGGATGGATGAAGGGGAAATCGGCACCGACCGAGACCAGGCAGCTGCGGGCGGGGAGAGGCCTCTCGGCTCCACAGCCCGGGGCCACAGCGCCAGAGAGCCGGTACCGAGGGGCGGCCCTGCGAGCAGCACTGGAGCACCGGAGCCAGCGGCCGGGCCGGTCCCGGGCAGGGCTGGAAGAGCCGGGCACTGGCAGCCCCGGGCACTGGCACCCACAGGGATCCACGAGCACCGGCACCGCCGGGCACCGGCACCGCCCCCGGGCACCGGCACCCATGGGCAGGCCCCGGACGAGGCCCGGCGCGGCCCGCCCCGCCCGGGAAGGCCGCCCCACTCCCGGCGGCGGCGCTGACCTCGGAGTCCTTGCGCGGCGGCCGGGCCAAGTCGCGGCCCCTCCCGGGCGCGGCCGCCCCGCCGCGGCCCTTGTTGTTCCCCGGGCCCGGGCCCGGCCCGGGGCCGCCGCTCGGCTCCATGGCGGCCGCTCCGCCGCGCCGAGCTCTCGCGAGGACTCACCCCCTCCTCTCGCGGGAGCGGCAGGGAGAGCCGGGGCAGCGCCGCCGCCATGTTGGGAGTGGCAGCTGCGGGAGCGCCGGTGCCGCCGGTGGCTGCGGTGCAGCTCCGCCCGCCGGCCCCGCCGCTCCGCCGCGGCGGCCGCGTCACGGCCGGCGCTGCCCGCCCCCGGCGGCCACGGACGGCGCGGCACACGGCCGGGCGGAGGGCTCCGCCCCCGCGCCGCCATCTTGGGCGCGGCGCGGCCCCGGGCGCGGCCATGCTGGGTGTGGCACTTCCGCCTCGCCCAGGGCGCGCCCGGGGGCTGAAGGGCGCCATGCTGGGAGTGGCAGGAGGGGCAGAGCCCCAGTGAAGGGCCTGGAACAAAGGAATGCCCCAGTGGAAGGGCCAGGAATAAAGGAATGCTCCAGTAGAAGGGCCAGGAATAAAGGAATGCTCCAGTGGAAGGGCCTGGAACAAAGGAATGCCCCAGTGAAGGGCCTGGAACAAAGGAATGCTCCAGTTGGATGGCCTGGAACAAAGGAATGCTCCAGTTGGAGGGTTTGGAGCAAAGGAATGCTCCAATTGGAAGGCCTGGAAAAAAGGAATGCTCCAGTTGGAGGGCCTGGAAAAAAGGAATGCTCCAGTGGAAGGGTCTGGAACAAAGGAATGCTCCAGTTGGAGGGCCTGGAAAAAAGGAATGCCCCAGTCGGAGGGCCTGGAAAAAAGGAATGCTCCAGTTGGAGGGTCTGGAACAAAGGAATGCCCCAGTGACGGGGCTGGGGGCTCCAACCCCAAACTGGGGTCCAATGGGGCTCAGAGGTTAAACCTGACAGGATTTAAACCCCAAGCTAAGATGCCCCTTGGGGCTTTAAAAAGAGTGAGACCCCAAAATCCAGAGTTGTGCCAACGTTCAGAAAATTCTGGTGGGACCCAATGCCTGCCCCAAGATGGCCAAAGGGAGATTCCAGCCCTGCCCTTGGGCTTGGAAAAAACTCCGGGTCGCCCCTGAGGAACACAACCAAAAGCACTTCATTTTTCCTAATAGTTTAATTAGACTTTAATGATTTATTGCTCATCTGCAAGGATTAATATTGCATTCATTAAAAATCATTCCTATACAAAATAAACCTCTCGCTCCCGGCCCGCCGCTGCCGCCGCCATCACCCCCAGGCTCCCCCAGCATGGCTTATACAGACACAGAGCCCTTGGCCGAGATTCCACCCGGGATGGGTGGGAACGGGGACCCCCAGGCGCGGGGGGCTCACAGGGAAGGGGGAATGCTCCCGATCCTTCCCACAAACGCCCATCCCAGCTTGCTAAGCCGTCCCCACGGAGGTCTGGGGGATGGTGGAAGGGACCCAGGTGATCCCTGGGATCTGTGGGGGAGCGAGGCAGGTGATCCCCAAAATCTATCCAGGAGGAGACCACGCAGGGTGGGAGAGAGGAACAGTCAGAGGACATGGAGGGGGATGATCTCAGCACCTCTCCCATCCCCTGGCCCCACAAGGAGCTTTGCACCCCCCAAAACTTGCCATTTCCCTGGGAAGGACCCGTCCAGGTGGATCCCTGCAAACAGGGGAAGGAGCAGCTCCACGACCCAGGAGGTGCCAGCAGCTCCTTTCCTCAATTGGGTGGGGAAAGAACAGGAGCCAGAGGAACCTCAGTGGGTTGGAAGGAGCTTCCCACACCCCAGCACAAGCTGGGAAAGGGAAATGTCAGCAGGGAGGGCACGGAGGAGGTGATGGGAGCAGCTGGGACACACGGGGAGAGGGTGAGGAAAACAGTCACAGGGAGCAGAGGGGCCGGGCTGGGATATGGGGAAGGCTCATCTCCGCATCCAGCTCAAAAATAAAATAGTGAAACACCCCCAAAACCCACCCCAGACACCCTCAACAACACCCGGCACTTCCCAGTGGGGGATGGGAAGGCGGCCGCGTCCCCAGTGCTTCCTCTTACAACATCTAAAAACAATCCCCGCCCTCTGAAACATCTCTGTAAGGATCAAAAAGGAAAAGAGGGAGAAAAAAACAAATAAACAAACGGAAAAAATGTTTAAAACTCAATTAAGGTGCAGTTTGGCTAAAAAAAAAAAAAAAAAAAAAACAAACAAAAAACCTTGGAGAGATGAGGATAATGCTGGGAAAGCGACCCCCATCCAGATTCAGATTAGCACCCTGAAACACTGAACTCCCCTGGACCCAGGTGGCCAGCAAACCCAGGCCAGTGGCCACCAAACCTGGGCCACCTCAGCGCAGGGACCTGGGCTGGGCTTGGGCACAGTCACCCCCTTTGCCAGGTGTCCTGCAGGCCACTCTGCTCCCAGGAAGCACCCGGAGCAGGGATCTAGCAGCTAAAACTGGGCTCTTTAAGGCAATTTAGAAGTTGCAGATAATCCACACAAAGAAATAGAAGATAAGGTAGAAGAGCATTTCCGGATCCACAGGGAGCCCGGCTGAGACCAACGTGGGCTGGAAAGGTGGGAAAAAGTACAAAATAAAAGCCAAAATAAACAATTGCTGCAGGAATGAAGTGCCCTCGGCCCAGCAGGAAAGGGAAAGCCCCTCCTGGAGCCAGGGCTGGGAATCAGCAGCTTCAGCCACATGAAAGCAAGAAGCAAATCCCAGGTTGATCTGGCAAGATCAGACAGGGATGTGATCATGGAAAAGGGGGAGAAAAGAAAACCTGACCTTAAAGTCACAGATAAAATGTAAAAACAGGTTCTGGTGGTGGTGAAAAAAAAAAAAAAAAAAAAAAGGGTAAACCAAAATGAAAATGATTTTTCAAAATAATCTCTCAAATGTTGCCTTGTGTGGTCTGGTCCTTCATGGAAATGGTCCCGTCAGTATCTAGGAGAGAAGGAAGGGACAGTGAGGGACATGGGAGGTGCTGCTGTGCCAGGGCAAGGGGATCCCCCAGAGATTCCAGACTGGCAGGGACTTTAGAGCTCATCTGATTCCACAGGCAGGGACACCTTCCACTATCCCAGGTTGCTCCAAGCCCTGTCCAGCCTCGCCTTCCAGGGATGGGGCAGCCACAGCTGCTCTGTGCACCCAGGGCCCTCCCACCCTCACAGCCACGAATCCTTCCCAATATCCCATCTAACCCTGCCCTCTTCAGGCACTGGAAGGACTCCAAGCTCTTTTGGGAGCCTTCCAGCTCTCCCAGAGGGGCTCCAGCCCTCAAAGCATCTCCGTGGCCTCCTTTGGACACGCTCCAGCAGCTCCACATCCTTGTGGTGTTGGAGACCCTGGAGCTGGAGGCAGAGCTCCAAACCAGCGGGGAGCTGGGAGCTCCTGCCCCAGCAGCTCTCACCTGTAGTAGTTGGGTTTGAAAGGCCCATTTTTGTTGAGTCCCAGGTATTTGGCCTGATCGTCCGTCAGCTCCGTCAGGTGGGCGTCGAACGATGGCAGGTGCAAACTGGCCACGTACTCATCTGGGAATGGGAACAGGGAAAACGGGATCAGGGGGTCCACACCCCCACCACAACATGGGCAGGTGATGACTGGAAGGTCTGGCTGGGCAGCACCCCAAATTCACCATCACCCAAAGCAGGGCTGAGCCCAAGCCTGGGCTGGACGTGCCCCTAAAGGCACAAGGAGGGCATGGAAAATCCCAGAGAGGAAGGCTGCAGGATGTGGGATGCCTCCCACGCTGCAGAACACTAACAAAGATAAATCAAATAACCCTCACGTATTTTAAGGTCACTGCCTCTGGTTACCTCCCTGAACTCACTGTCCCTCTGGAAGTGTTTCCCAGCCCAGGTTTGAGTTCTTCTGACACTGCTGGCACACGGATTCCCCAGGGAAAAGTCAGTTCCTTCACTCACCCATCTTCTTTGGCAGCAGGTAAACATCCTGCTTGTACCGGCCCTCGGGAGCGTTGTAGAGCTCAATCAGAGCCAGAGCCTGTGGAGAGCACAGGGATAAGCTGGGAACAGTCAGGAATGTCCACAGCTTGGGCAACACAAAGCTCACAAAGGCAGAGAAGGATCTGGGAGCTGGAGGGACAGTGCAATCATTTCCAACATGCCTTGAGGGAAAAGGCTCCCACCCTGGGTACCTCCCTGTCTGGAGCTCCACAATCCCACTGGAGGGATCAGAGGGCAGGGATGAGATGCCACCCAGCCTGTTTGCAGCATCTGGGCTCAACACCTCGGGGAAAAACATGAGGATGGCTTAGGGTTAGCAGCTCTTCTCCTCTTAAATCACCCAGCTGCTGTGGCACATGGAAATGGAGGGGCTGCTCCTCAGAAACTGGCAGCATTCAAAAACCAAGACAGATTCCTTCAGGACACATGAAACTGCATCCCCTGAGAGCTGGCTTCCACTGTTGGGAACCAAGTCCAAAACACAGGCCTGTTCCCTGTCCCCTTGGGCTGACAGGAGTGAGGAGAAGGGAACTCCCCACTGTCAGCCTGGCTGTCCTTCCCCACGAGCGCCAGTGCCACCAGACCCTCCATGTTCCCAGCCCCATCAATCCCCTCAGTGCTCCCAGTCCCATGTTCCCAGTGCCACCAGCCCCCTTCATGTTCCCAGCCCAAACAAAGCCTTGCTTTGAGGTAAGCTCAAACCTGTGCTAGGTGAGCTTAAACACATGCTGGGGGAGCTTAAATCGCTGCTAGAGGGGCTTAAACCTGTGCTGGGGAAGGTTAAACCCATGCTAGGTGGTCTCAAACCTGTCCTAGGAGGGCTCAAACCTGTCTGGGGGAAGCTTAAAACTGCCTTCCAGCCCAGCAGGATCTGTGCCATGAAAGCACTCACTTAAAAGCTCTCCCAAAACTTGCTGTACCCAAAACATTGGGTCCATGCCAGCAATAACTCCAGCCCAGAAAAAATGGTATTTCTGGCAGTGGTGCCATCTCAAGGACCAATCCCAGCGTGTTCCCAGCTCCTTCCAAACCATCCCCACCCCTAGGCTTGTGCAGGGCCCCACCCAGGTACGGACCTGTGTGGTGGCTGTGATGGAGAGAACGAAGGTGGGAACCGTGGAGCAGCTGAGGTTGAGCAGACGGCCCTGAGAGAAAGCAGGAGTCAGCACAGAGCTGGACACGCTCCCAAATCCAAACCAAACTGAGTTCCCAGATGGGATTCACCTCCATCCCCTCCCTGCACAGGGGACCAGGGAACAGGGGCACAGAGAACCAAATCCAAACCAAACTGAGTTCCCAGATGGGATTCACTTCCAACCCCTCCCTGCACAGGGGACCAGGGAACAGGAGCACAGAGAACCAAATCCAAACCAAACTGAGTTCCCAGATGGGATTCACTTCCAACCCCTCCCTGCACAGGGGACCAGGGAACAGGAGCACAGAAAACCAGAGCATTTCAAGTCTGCTCCAGTTTACACCTTAACCCTTCATTTTGAGGCAGGGGAATGTTGTGGTCCCTAGAAAAGGCAATCCCAGCTCCTGTGGGAAGAGGAGCCACCCAGCACCTGGGAAACCCTGCACAGATGGGGTTTGCCTGAGTGGGATGAATCCCAGCTCAGAAGAACAGTCACATGGCACCCCTGTGGCTGCATGTGCGATATGACACACCCGCCCTCAAGAAAAGGAAATAAATAAAATAAATCCAGAAACCCTTTTTTGAGCCGTGAAGCTTCTCTCAGCACTTTTCCACCTGGCTAAATCTGTGATTTCCTGAGGGAGGCCCAAAGCACCATGGCCCAGCTCTCAACACACCTCGGCCAGCAGCACCACGCGCTTCCCGTCGGGCCAGATGACGTGGTCCACTTGGGAGCGCACCCGCTCCCAGGTCAGCTCCGGCATCCGCAGGCTGGTCTGCAAGAGCAGAGGCAGGGCTGGGCTCAGAGCAGGAGCCAGCCAGCGGGCACAGCCAGGGGTGCCAGCACTCACCACGTCAATCTCGGTGTTGGAGTGGCCCATGTTGCACACGATGCAGCTGTTCTTCATCCGGTCCAGGTGCTCCCTGGTCACCACGTTCTTGTTCCCTGCAGGCACAGAGGACACAGCTCATCCCACGGCGGTGGGAACACAAAGCCTCTGGTTTCTCCTTCCCTGAACTCCAGTCAGAGAAGCTCAGCTTGGGACAACACCAGAGGAACTTCCCTAGGACATGAGCTCCTGTGGCTGTGACAGCAGAGAACATGTCGGACAGGGGCTGTCATGGAATATCCTGAGCTGGAAGGGATCCACAAGGGTCATCAAGTCCAGCTCCTGGACCCTGCATAGGACACTCCCAACAATCCCACCCTGTGCCTGAGGGCATTGTCCAAACACCCCTTAAGCTCTGGCAGGGCTGGGACTGTGACCATTCCCTGGGGAGCCTGGGTGGTGCCCAAGTCTCTGATCTTTGCTCCCAGGCTCTAGGAGATCCCAAAATACCCTGAGAACACGTGGCCAGTATCTCCCTCTGCTCTGGGCCAGGACTGTGGTCATATAGCAAATCAGCAAAAAGCTCCTGGCAGAGCCCAGCTGTTGTGGAAAATGAGGAGCACAGAGCAGTGAAATGTCCTCCATTCCCAGCTCCCTTGAGACCCCACTTGGGAATGATGCTCCTCAGCCTGCTCCAGCCTTGTCTATCCCTACCTGTGCAGGTGATGACGACATCCACCTGACGGATTACTTCGCTCAGCTTCACCACCCGAAATCCATCCATGCTGGCAAAAAAAGGGGAATAGGGACCATCACGAGGAGGAGAAGCTTGTTCCTTCTCTACCCCAGGCCATGAGGGATCTCAGCCACTCCAAACTACTCTGCCAGCAGCCCAGGCTCTCCTCTACCCCTCCAGGGACACCAGTGCCACGAGGGAGAGCTTTGCTACAGTTGGGATGTCCAACCCACTCTTGGAAATGTTGGATGAGCCAGGAATGTGTGGCATAGAGGCCTGAGCAGCCTCCCCAAATCAGCCAATGAACACCTTCTGCCTGGTACCCCATGCCTGAAAGCTGCCCATCACACCCCAACAAGGTGCATGCTCTCCAAAATGAGCCACAGATCCCCCTGGCTTCACTCCAGCCCTGTTGCAAGGTTTGGAAGAGCACATGGGAACACCTTACCAGGCTTGGAGAGCACAGATGGGGTCGATCTCGGTGACGTACACGATGGCTCCCAGGGCTTTCAGGGCAGCACAGCATCCCTTCCCAACCTGCCAAGGCAGAAGGGCCAGTGAGGCAGGACACAGACACACCAGTGCCACAGTCCCTGCCCTAAACAGCCCAGGCCCATCCTGGGCTGGAAGATCCTCCTTCCAGCCACTTGCTCAATGCCAGGAGCAGCTCAGGATGTACCTGGTGAGTGGCACAACTGCCACAAGCCCAGCTCTCCCTACAAGGCCACCAGCTTCCCACTGCCAGAGGGCAGGATTAGACTGGATATTGGGAAGGAATTCTCCCCTGTGGGAGAGGTGAAGCCCTGGCACAGGGTGTCCAGAGAAGCTGTGGCTGCCCCATCTGGAAATACCCATGACAGGAGCTTTCCCAACCCAATGCTCTCACAGCTTGTGCAGCCCCAGCATTGCAGGAGCCTTTCTCCAAGCAGGAATTAAAGCCAGTCTACAGGAGCACACACTGCCCCCATTGCCTTTAAGCTACAGGATTTCAGAGCTGTCCTGCACTCCTCAGGGGGCAGATCCCCCATCCCATGCTGCCCCCATCACAGGGAGCACAGCGCTCCTGCAACAGCATCTAGGACTTGCTCCCTCCCCTCAGTGGAAAATGAAAACAAAGTCCAGCTCTCCACATCACCAGCCCACACCAACACCTGGCTCTGCTGCACAGACTCTCCTCAGCCCTGTTTTGTGACCAGCAAGGTGCTGAACCAAAACAATTTCCAGAGCAACCTTCATTTATCATCCAGCTCCAGCCTTGGGTCTACTGAACACATTCAGGCAGGGCCAGCTGGGACTCAACTCACATCCAGAGGGGAACCATTCAGGGTGAACAGGCTGGGAGGGCCCAGGGTGCTCAGCCTGGAGGAGAGCAGGCTACAGCAAGACCTTAGAGCCCCTTCCAGTGCCTAAAAGGGCTTCTGGAGAGCAAAAGAGGGGCTTTGGACAAGGGACGGCGTGTCAGGACAAGGAGGAATGGCTTCCCACTGCCAGAGGACAGGATTAGATGGGATAGTGGGAAGGAATTCTTGGCTGTGAGGGTGGTGAGGCACTGGAATCGACTTCTCAGAAAAGCTGTGGCTCCCCATCCCTGCAAGTGTTCCAGCTTGGGTGGGGCTTGGAGCAACCTGGTCTAGTGGAAGGCATCCCTGTCCATGGCAGGGGGTGGAACTGGATGAGCTTGAAGTTCCCTTCCCAAATATGGGTTGGAAGTCTGGGATTCTCTGACTCCCCTGTTGTGAAGAAGTCCAGTAAAGCTTAGGACAGACCCTGGAGACAACAATGCCCGGCACAATTCATGCCTGGAGAATCAGCCCAGAGCACTTGGTGAGAGCCAGCACAGTGTCTTGGTCAAGCAAAGCTGGGTTCCACCAGTGCCTAAATGAACTAGGGTGCAAATTCCTGCTGGGAAGAGCATTTGGAGCTCCTGCCAGTCCCTGCACAGGGCCGGAAGATAAACACCCACATGGAGGGCACAGATGGAGGGAAGGTGGCAGCTCCCAGCTCCAGCTCTTCCATGGTAGAATCAGTTATAAGTTCATTATACGATTTCCCTCTGCCAGAGTACTATTCCCAGGGAGAAGCTGCCTGCCCTGCTCAGTGACAGACAGGCTGGAAGCTGAACCTGGGCCAGGGACAGCAGATGGGAGTCCCCGTGGGTACTTATAATTCAGGCCAGTACTCCCAGCAACTGTCGGCTGTACAGCCCAGTTCATCTGCAGCAAACTGGGAAATCTGATCCCTGATCTCCATCCTCACAGCAGATTCCAGCAAGATTTCCCTAGTTATCACCAGGCTGGATCTACTCCTTATAGCAAGGGCAAGTGGCCTTTGCACAGGGAATTGCAGGATGCTGAGCTTGGGGGAGGCCAGCACAGCTCACGGAACTCACCTCCCCATAACCACAAACCACCACTTGCTTCCCTCCAAACATCACATCCGTGGTCCTCTTCAGGCTGGGGGACAGAGAGAGACCTGTGTTGGGATCAGTCAAGCCCAAAGCCAGGTCAAAGCAGCAGAGCCTGATCTCTGCTTAAGAAGCAGCTGAAGCCAAAGCCACCCGTGTGGAAGTGCCAGTGGGGAAAAGAGCTGGACTCACCCATCCAGGATGGATTCTCGGCAGCAGTACAGGTTATCAAACTTCTGCTTGGTGACAGAGTCATTCACGTTCATGGCTGGGACACAGAGCTTCCCAGCCTTGGAGAGCTGGTACAGCCTGGGAGAGGGCAGAGGCAGGTCAGAGCAGACAGCAGCAACTCCCTGAGATCTCTGGATCTGCCTTCCCAAAGCTCCCACCTGTGCACGCCTGTCACGCTCTCCTCCACAATCCCTCGGATCTTCTTGAACACGCTGGGGTATTTCTTATAAACCCAATGGGTCAGGTCCCCCCCATCATCCAGGATCTACAACAGGCAAGGAAGAACAGGGAGCAGTCAGGCCTCCCACTGGGAAATGCACTGGCTGAGGACAGGATGGGGAAAACGATTTGGAGAAACATCTTTAGGCACTGCTGGAGGGGTTGTTTGGGCAGAGGCCTGCAGGCCATGACTCCTGGGTTCCCTAGGTGCCTGCAACTCTGGGTCTCCTCTAAAACCCTGAGATGCCTTACCCTGTGTGGAGCTGCTGGATGCTAACAGGATTTCCTGCCCCTGCTATTGCTCTGGAAGGTGAGCACAGGCAGCACTAACTAACCAGGCTGAGCTCAGGACACCACAGCATTGATGTCCAGGAAGCAAAGGGGAGAGGATAGGCTGTGGGAGGTGTCACGGCCCACAGACACATCACTGGTGACCACAGATCGGCTTTGACAAGGGAAAGGTCCCCACTGTGATCCCAGCTTTGGGAGGGTGAGGGCAGATGGCACCTGGGCTGTGAGAGGAGCAGCTGGGGCAGCTCCTGCAGGGGAAACAGGACTCATTTCCCATTTCTCACTGCCACTGGGATGTGCTACCTCAGGACACCATGTCTGCAGCTCCTGACATTCCCATGGCTGTTCCCAGCTCATCTCCAGCTGCTGCTCTCCAAGAGCCCCCATTAATGGGACCTTCGAGGTCAGCAGGCTCCCAGGAACAACCCCAGGGTGGAAGGGAGGAAGAGGAAGGGCTGGAGAAGACTCCTCACCATGTTGGCCTGCCAGCCATCTACGTTAACACAGCGGTCAATGCACCACCAGAAATCATCCTCTGACTCCCCTTTCCAGGCAAACACAGCAACACCTGCAAGAACAGGAGCATCCCTGGGGTTTGCTGGGCGTGGCAGAGCTCTCTCCTGCTTGGCCAGCTCCAGAAACACACGGACACAAGAGCCAGCCAAGGGGCCGTGCAGAGATCACGTCACTGCCCACAGCAGCATCACACCTGCCCATCCCTCCCTAGAAGCTATTCCCCAAAAATATTAATTCCCTAAAGCAGAAATACAAAATTTTAAACAATAAAATAGATAATAAAAAACAAAGAAATAATAATAAATATATAATAAGAAAACAATACTAGCAATAACTTGGTAGTAGTGATTATTGTAGTAATACTATTAGTAGTAATTAATGTAGCAATACTACTATTAACTGTTTAATTTTAAACAGTATAAAAATAAATACAATATAATTAAAATATGGTTAAATATACAATTTAAATATATTTTATGTTTTTATCATTTTATATATATTCCTATCTATTTTATTTTTTATACTTTATATCTATTTTATTTGATACAAAATGTATCTATAAGCATTTAATAAATATCTACCTGTGTATTCAGATATTTATGTTGTATCTTTAATGTCAATATATATAATATATATAATTTAAATATTTGTTTATATTTATATATATGCCTAGTATAAAATATTTCTAAATGTAAATTATAATTTTATAATTTTTAATATAAAATTTTATCTTGTTATAAAATAGCAAATATAAAATGTATATAAATATAGACTAAAGCATACACAAATATAAAACAAAATATCTACAAATGAAATATGAATTTCCCTGGGAGGTTTCCCCTGGGTGAGGCAGGAGGGGCTGCACTCACCAGCCTCTGCCAAGGCAGCCGCCACCTCGTTCTGGGTGGAGTAGATGTTGCAGGCAGACCAGCGGCACTGCGCCCCCAGGGCACACAGCGTCTCGATCAGCACCTGCGGGACAGGTGGGCAGGGTCAGGGGTGTCCCGGGGTCAGGAGTGTTCTGGGGGTCAGGGGTGTCCTGGGGGCCAGGAGTGTTCTGGGGGTCAGGGGTGTCCTGGGGGCCAGGGGTGTCCTGGGGGTCAGGAGTGTCCTGGGGGTCAGGGGTGTTCTGGGGGTCAGGGGTAACCAAGGGGTCAAGGTGATGCCCAGGTGGGCAGGTGCCAGGGGTGCCCCGGGGGTCAGAGCTGTCCAGAGGGCCGGGGTGCCCCAGGGGTGCCCGGGGGGACAGGCGTGCCCCGGGGGTCAGGAATAACCTGGAGATCAGGGATGTCCTGGGGATCAGGGATGCCTCAGGCACCAGCGATGTCCCAGGGTTCAGGAATAACCCAGGGGTCAAGGGTGCCCCAGGGGACAGGAGTGACGCAGGGGACAGAGTTGTCCAGAGGTGCCCCAGGGGTGCCCTGGGGGTCAGGGATAACCTGGAGATCACGGATGTCCTGGGGATCAGGAGTGCCCCAGAGGTCAGGGGTGCCCCAAGCACCAGCAATATCCCAGGGTTCAGGAATAACCCAGAGGTCAAGAGTGCCCCGGGAGGCAGGGATAACCCCAGGGACAGGGATAACCCCGGGGACAGAGATAATGCAGGGGTTAGGGATAACCCCGGGGACAGGGATAATGCAGGGGTTAGGGATAACCCCGGGGACAGGGATAACCCCGGGGTCAGGGATAACCCCGGGGGTCAGGGATAACCCCGGGGGTCAGGGATAACCCCGGGGGTCAGGGATAACCCCGGGGNGGGGTCAGGGATAACCCCGGGGGTCAGGGATAACCCCGGGGGTCAGGGATAACCCCGGGGGTCAGGGATAACCCCGGGGTCAGCGATAACCCCGGGGACAGGGATAACCCCGGGGACAGGGATAACCCCGGGGGTCAGGGATAACCCAGGGGTCAGGGATAACCCCGGGAGTCAGGGATAACCCCGGGGACAGGGATAACCCCGGGGACAGGGATAACCCTGAGGGTCAGGGATAACCCCGGGGGACAGGGATAACCCAGGGGTCAGGGATAACCCCAGGGACAGGGATAACCCCGGGGTCAGGGATAACCCCGGGGTCAGGGATAACCCAGGGGTCAGGAATAACCCAGGGGTCAGGGATAACCCGGGGGTCAGGGATAACCCGGGGGACAGGGATAACCCGGGGGACAGGGATAACCCGGGGGACAGGGATAACCCCGGGGACAGGGATAACCCGGGGGACAGGGATAACCCCGGGGTCAGGGATAACCCCGGGGTCAGGGATAACCCAGGGGACAGGGATAACCCAGGGGACAGGGATGCCCCTGGCACGAGAGCAGGCCTGGGGCAGCAGTGATGTGCACAGGAACCAAATGCTGCCCTGGGGAAATATCACCAGCACAACCTTTCCAAAATGCATCCAAACTCAACTGAATGTGCTGGGGCTCTTTATCTCTTCTCTCATCCCAAAGAGACAAAGAACTTTCTTCCCCATGGAAAGCTGATGTCCCAGCCCAGGCCCCCACATAAGCAGCCACTCACCGCAGTCTGTGCTGTGATGTGGGTACAGCCCACAATTTTAGCTCCAGCCAAAGGCTTCTCGCCCTGAGCTCGTTTCCTGAGTGAAATCAGAGCAGACATGTCTGCAAAAGGAAGAGAGGTTTTAATGCTGGTTCAATCTGCAAGGTCCCCTCTCTACCACAGCTCCGCTCCCTTCAGGGCCTCCCAGGATACCTCCAAGCCCCAAAATTTCTACTGAAGCTGTTACACAGGCAGGGAGAAAGCTCCTCATCCCTGGCCTGGCAAAACAGGACCAAAACACCAGTGTCATTTGTCACTTGACCAAGGGATAAGGAGAGAGGCAAGGAGGGGTCTGGGACTAACAAGGCCTGGGGAAGGCTCCTAAGGACATTCACCAGCCCTGTGACAGCAGGTGAAGCACCTGAACTTGAAAACAGAGCTGCCACAACTCAGAAGAGCTGCTCTACATGTGTCTGGGTTGTCTTCCCCTTCTAAAAGGAGAGTTACCCAATCACCCCCCTGGAAATGGTAATTCAGCTTCCTACCACCCCCACAGGAAGGGGTGGGATTTTCAGCTTTCATATCTCTGAAGGTGTTACAAAATCCTTGTCCATCCAAAGCCAACAAAACATTAAACCCTGCAACAGCTCTGCTCCTGCTAGAAAAGGGATGGGGCACAGCATTTGCAGGCACATCTCGCTCCTCCCTGTTTTTGGAGGAGGAAAACAGGGTATCCAAGGCTGCAGCAGGAGTGGGAATTGCCACTGCTCAGCTGCTGGTCTCCAGGACCTGCCCCAAGCCCCAGGAGCCCCACGCTGTGCTCTGTACCCTGCTCGGCGATCTCAATCTCCCGGCGCCCGAACTCGGCCTGTTTGATGTTCTTCACGCAGAAATTGCTGCTGCCCTTGGAGTTGGTTTGCTGCTTCTCCCGGGGGGACACCTCGTCATCAGAGCTGTCTGTGTACGAGGCAGCTAAACCAAAAGAGGAATGAATGAGTGTTATGGCAGGCCTTATGAATCCAGGAACTTCCTACCCTTCAGCTTTCTGCTCTGCTTCCCTGTCTGAACTCAAAATGTCCCTCAGACATTTTTGGATGTTCCGGGTCCAGGTCAGAAGCATTTGAGACCCTGGCACAGCTGGAAACAGCTGTGATTTTGGGTTTGAGCCATGGAATGATTTACCAACCTTGCAGGAAGAACAAGAAGTCACAAAAGTTTAGATATTATAGTAGAAGTAGTCACAAAGTAGAGGGAAGAATTTTTGAGTGCTGTACAGGGAGGTTTTGGTTTTGTACATGGGGGTCAGAGGGTTTAAGATGGATTTGGGATCTGGGCCTGCCCTGTCCTTCCTCTTTCTCCTTCCTTCCCTCCATGTTCTTGGTGATGTTGGCACTCACAGATTGGTTTAGAGTAGAAAATCACCATTTAATATAGGTAATAGGCATTGGGAAAAACTGTAACCATGTAACACGTAATGTACCATATAAAAGATAGAAAAGCACCATTTAATATAGGTAATAGGCATTGGGAAAAACTGTAACCATGTAACACGTAATGTACCATATAAAAGATAGAAAATCACCATTTAATATAGGTAATAGGCATTGGGGAAAACTGTAACCATGTCACACGTAATGTCCCATATAAAAGACAGCAGCAGCCCTTTGTGGGAGAGAAGAAGCAGTCGGGGTCAGAGAGGATGTCAGGGTGTGTGTGTGCCTCTGCCTGAGCTGTGAGCAAACCACAGCAGCCCCAGAAGAAAATCTTTTAGATAACTTGCAATAAACTGCCTTGAGACCCAACAACAGAGACTGCTGAGCCTTTCTTGGGAAGCTCAGGTTGGAGGAGAGACTTTTCCAGCACACGGAGCCACCCCTGACCTAGGGTCAGCTCCGGCATTTCCCTTCCCAGCTTTCACTCATGGCTCAAACTACCAATTTCCTAGGAAAAGCCAACGCCCTGAAGGAATTTTGTACTCTTTTTCTCTAAAACAGTCCAGAGGTAACAATTATCAACTGGCAATCAATGCCTGAGCTTTGGGAATGCCTGGAATCATTCCCTCAGCATCCAAGTACAAACAGCAGCACAATTCCTGCCACAGACTCTGAGCAGCACATTCACTGCAGCACCCATGCTGGGTTTTTGAGAGGAATATGTGAGGACAAGGACCTGGCACCTACCAGAGCTGTAGCTGTCAGTGGAAGACTGGGAGATGGAGCGGGACAGGGACCGACGGCCCGTCTTGGTCGGGAATTTGGTGAACTCCTGCATGTCATCTGCAAATTGGATTTGCTGGAAGCAAAGGAAAGAAGTGCTAAATCAGGAGGTGATCCTTAGGGCATGACATGTCCCAACCTACAGGGACACATAGAACCCTTCAGTCCACAAAAATTAGCATCACCAAATACAAGGCTACAGATGCCAAAAATTAAATCCTTTCCTCTGCCCGAAACAACTGCCACCAGGTTTTTGTCACCCTGCGAATTTCACACAACAGCTGAAGATAAAAAGAGCACCCTGAAACATCTCCTTTAATCCCCTCCCAGCTCCCTAAGGCTCCTTCAGGAATTGCACTCCTTGTACAACCCACATCCCATGAGGAGGCAGAGCCCCTGCTCCCACAGCCCCTGTCCCAACCAATCTCAGCAGATTTCTGCCCAAAAATGTAGCAGCAAGAAAGTTGGGGTGGTCCCAACAGATCCCTGGTGCTTCCAGGCTCTTCCCAGGAGCAGAGCATCCCGCAGGTTAAAAACACCACACATCCTTCCAAAACTGACACTAAAAGCACAGGAAAAAACCTCAGCAAGAGAGAACATTTCAACAAAAAGAAGTTGACATTGCATTGGCTTTCAGCCTCCTCTGCAGGACAAGATGTTTCCATTGGAAGAAAACCCCCAAAACAGCCACCTCTCTCAGCCAGAGGCAACTCAAGGCTCCAGCACCTTCTATCAGATCATCAAATTTAACTGTGTTGGGCCAAAAAGAGAGGAAAAATAACCCAAAACTGCTCAGCTGCTGTGCTCACCCCAAGTGAGCAGCCAGCAAAGGGCCTTACTGCTGCTCCTGCCAGTGAAAGGCAACAGAGATGAAAGGGAATCAGGGAAAGCACCAGCAATCCCAGCCTGCAGCCCCCTCCCTGCTGCAGGCAGGAGACCCTGACAAAGAACCCCAGCATGGCCCCTCCACTCCCATCACGTCGCTGCAGGATTTAATTTTGCCATTTAACAGGGATGAGACGTCATGGCAGGGAGTGGGATTAACAAAGCATCCCCGAGACCCAGGAGACCTTGAGAGGAGACCTAGAGAAATGAAGATGATGGAAAGAGACAGCCCAGAGCAGTCACAAGGAGGGGCTTTCAGTGCCACAGCCATCCCAAAAGCACCCTGAAAGCTTTGATGCAGGAGACAGCCTTTGGAGGGGAGAAGAATTAAACTATTTACTTGAAATGATCCATTCCAGAAAGGAGGAATCTGCACAGGCTGGAGCTGGGGTGGCTGCAGCACCGGTACAGCTTTTGGGGCTGGAAAACGCTGCCACAATCCTACAGAATCCCAGCAGATGGGCCAAAACCAGCATGGGATTCCACTTGAGAAGGAACAAGGGGGAATGAAACCTATGGCTCACTCCAAGGGAGGGCAGGAGGGATGATGTGGGACTCCAGCATCTCTTCCAGGAACTGACTGGCACAGATCAGATCCATCAGCACACCCAGCCAAACATCCCAGGCAATCCTGTGGGTGCTGCTGCTGCAGGGTTTCCAGCCAGCTCCTCCATCCTGGACACATCACAGCTTCCCTGACTAGACTTCCCAGCAGACTCCAGTTGGATTCTGATGCAAACTACTTTAGTTTGTATTAGTGGAAGGAATAGAAAGGATCAATGGAGATAGAAGGTTTGGTTTTGTGATTGTTTGAGGTCACTTGATGCGGAAGGAGGATTCGGAGGGCGCCACAACCTCAATCCCCACGGGGAAGCAGAGGGAGGGCACAGAGGGCAGAATCCAGAGGGCATCCCAATCCTATCCCCACAGGAGAGCAGAGGGAGGGGGTGCAGAGGGCAGGATCCAGAGGGCATCCCAATCCTATCCCCACAGGAGAGCAGAGGGAGGGGGTGCAGAGGGCAGGATCCAGAGGGCATCCCAATCCTATCCCCACAGGAGAGCAGAGGGAGGGGGTGCAGAGGGCAGGATCCAGAGGGCATCCCAATCCTATCCCCACAGGAGAGCAGAGGGAGGGCATCCCAATCCTATCCCCACAGGAGAACAGAGGGAGGGGGTGCAGAGGAGACCACAACCCTCATCCCTGAGGGAAATCACAGGGAGGACCAGGAGGGCACTGAAACCTCCACCCCCATGGGAGAGCAGAGGGAGGACCCGGAGGCCACCACAACCCCATCCCCACAGGGAAGTTGGTTCCAGGGACAAGACAGGCAGAAGCACTTCCAGGCAGGCACCAATACTGTGCTCAGGGAGTGTGGCAGGAGCTGGCAGGACTCCCAACAAGGAATGATGTTGCTGGAATTTGTTCAAGGTCTATTCCTCGGATCAATCTTCCCCACACAGCCTGGGATAGGCTTGTGCCACTTCCATGCCAGTGTATTGCTCATGGGCACTTCCAAGGAGGAAAAAGTATCAGCAATTTCAGGACACAAGATATTTCCATGCCTTCACATCGAGCTCTTCCTCTGGCAGCTCATCAAACCCAAGGGCATAAAAAACATTCCCCATAAAACAGCTGCTGGCATTAAAACAGCTTAAAGTGTTAGCTGAGGAATTGTCTGTATCTCAGGGAAAGGTTCCCAGGGAAGAGGTGACCCAGGAGGGAAAAAACATAAAGCACACTGCTTCAGCCCAGGGTGCAGGTCTGTCCTGCAGCATCCAGGATGCGTGTGCTCCAGGACAGGGCAATTCCCTTCAGGGAATTGCTGCCTGGATGGTCTCACGGAGCAAAGTTCCTTTGGGATGCGGTGGAAAAGGGAGGATGGGATAGAGGGATGCTGCACTTCCCAGTCCCACAACATCCCACACCACAATCCACCTCCCCTTCAGGCCTCCAGCTGTGAATGCTGAGCCAGCTCTGAGGCACAACCCCACCCTGCAAGAGAAACAGCAGGTTTAGAAACACGGGAATGAGGGATTGAATCCAAGGGGAGAGAAAAAGCAAGTGCTAAGCAAACCAAGTGCTGAATTACCCCCAGTAATCCCTGCCGTGGCTTTACCAGGGCTCAGCTGAACTCCCCAGCTTAGCAAAATCTGCCCTGGCTAAAATTATCATCAAACACCACGAACAGCAGCCAAACCCAAGGAAGCACCCGAACATCCCACCCCCCTGAGCCGGGGAAGTTACCGCTGTGCGGGCAGCGGGGCGGCAGCGCAGGCAGGTCGGGCACGGCGCTGGGCAGAGGGGAGTGAGCAGTGCCCTCCACGTGCCAGCAGCAGCTCGAGCTGCATTAAGGAGCCAGAGAAAATCTCCTAATCCCTCTGCCCATCATGGGAACTGGAATGGGCGGCATTCCCGGCCAGCCGGGGGCTGCGGCTCAGCGCTCAGCGGGATCGGGGCTGTCCAACTCTCCCTCTCTTTGCATCCCAAACTTCATCCTGCTGGAAGCAGCTTTTCCAACCGGGTGGAGCACGAGGGTTGAAGTGCAAGGAAAATATTTTTTCATCCCAGAAATTCGTGGTCAAGTAGGGAAAACAAGACAGCACCCATTTCCCTGCACAGGAATGAAGCCAGGGGTTTTCAGCATCACTGCCTGGAAAAGGAGAAGATGGGGCTGGAGATCAAAGGGGCCAAATGAGCAGTTCCTCACTTGGAACAGCAGGGATTTTGGGATATGTTCTGCAGAAAAACAGCAGGATCCACCATCTCCTGCCAAGTTCTTCCAGAGCATCGTTGGGCATTCCTGCTCCCAGTCAAGCCAGCCAAGCCAGAAGGACATTTTGTCCCTTTGGGAATCCACTGCCACTGTGCCCATTCCCAGGCAGATCTGACATTTCCCAACAACAGCTGCTCATGTTCAGCTCAAACCACCCTTTCCAGGGCTGGAGCTGAGGGAGCACTGTCCACCCTATTTGGCCACACTGTCCAGAGCATCCCAAACCTCCAGGAATCTGAAGACCAGCCTAAACAAGCTTCTCTCTAGGGCACAAGGATAAATCCACTGAGAACATTGGTGGGGCAGCACCAAACCCAGCAGCTCAAGTGTCCCCAGCATGCACAGGCTCTTTTGTTTAATTATTACAACACAGGGAGGACAAACAGATTGCAGGTCTGGATTGGTACCACCCCACCAAACGTGCAGCTCATGACTGCAGGGTGTGCCATCCTCCATGGCTGATCCCAAGCACTTTCCCAGTGGTCAGCCAGGAGAGCAGTTTTTGGAGCTGACAGAGTAAGAAAATTCCACTCCCTGACTCCAGGGAAAGGGAGTTGTACACGCAGCTGGATTTACCCCAGGCACAGATGAGCCCAGCATGTCCCTCTCGCAGAGGACAATCCCACTTTTCACTTTAACACTTCTTCCATTCCCAGAACAGCTCCAGAGAGGTCGCTTAAGCTCCTTTGTTGTGCTACACATCCCTGACTGCATCCCATGCAGCCTTGGGGGAGAGCAGGAGCAGATTGTGGAAGGAACAGAGATTTTGGAAAGCATCCACCAAGTCACAGCTGACACGGCTCATCAATGCACAGGCTCCACAGGGGAAAGAACACAGGCTGGGAAGCAGCTCCAGGCTCTATTCCTAGCATCCCCAGGTTTGCTTCAGCAATCCTTTTATTATTATTATTATTATTATTATTATTTATAATTAGGGAAAACGTGAGCATCGACACAAACACAGCCACAGGAAAAGTGTCCTCCCAGCCACTTCTGTCCTGGATAAGTGGAGCAGGGACAGGAGCAGGCTCCACACATCACCCAAGATAAGCAGGAAGCAATGAACCATCTAAAAATCCTCCAGACTTCTGAGCCTGCCATCCATGGATGTGAGGACACAGCACAGTCGCCCAGGGAGGAACAGCAAAATGGGAGCAGAGCACGTTCCTACAGCCACACAACCACCTCTAAAGCAGAAGAGTCTCTGCAACCCACTTCTGCCCTCCCAGGAGAAAGCCTGGAAGGATCCAGAGTCCTGGGACCTTTCCTTTGGCTGCAGAAAACCAGCAGGGATCAGGACTATTCAGTGCAGCCACTTCCCTTTATTTAGTACATTCTCCCAAACAAAAAATCCCTGGCAGAGGCTGGGAGGGCACTGCTGGATGCCCACGCTGCCAAGGCAGCCCTGACGTGACCT